AAAATGAACAACTAATATAAATAAATTTTGAATTTCAAGGTGGGCAAAATAAAATTTTGGGTAGAAATCTTCCGTAAAACGAACAACTAGTATAAAGAAATTCAGATTCTATGGTGGGCACGTGCTCACCTTGGGATGTACATGCATCCGCCAGTAGCTCTTATATTTGGATTTGAATTGATAACTGATCCTACAAGTGTCATGTTTTTTTTGGTGAATATGAAATAATATTTGTTTAAAGACAAGACTATTTGACAATAAACGTTTATATTTCTGCATATGTTATGCTCGAATCCTAGATCTTAAGAAATAATAATAAATCTTTTAACCACTAAGGTTACTTGATTTACGCTACAAGCAAACAAGCGTCATGCTTGAATATAAATCATGTAACTGATGTTATATGATCGGAAATAATGCTAAGAGAAAGTACTTGAAGTTATAATGATAATTTAGTACATTTACTGCGACACAATACTGACAATACTGAATATACTGTTAACGAAGCTAAATGTAGTAAATTATTAATTCATGTTTTGCATGTGTCCTTTGCTTTTGGATAAAAAAAGTTCATTGATTTTCCATGGCATACTTATTTACCACCTTACGTATCTTATTAACCAAGTATTTCACAGTTCACACCTATGATTAACGTGCTGTAAATATACCAAGTTATTAATTCATGTTTTGCATGTGTCTAAATACTGCTTATAGCCCAAACACCAAGTAGCCTTCGCTTTTGGGTGTAAAAATATCAATAATTTCCCACTAGTGCATGCCCATCAATCGGCCTACAAGTTATCTTTTATGTTTAAATATATTGTAATCATTAATTTTATTACTCATTATAATTAAAAGAATGTTATAGAAGGAAAAAAAGATGTTGCTGGAAGAAGTTATATATACTTTGATAAATGATAGTTTTTTTTAATAATCTAAGATTATTATAAGTTAATATATGTTGAGATTCTTTTTAATTATTGATAACGTATATACACTTCACATATACAGTTGTTTGAATCCGAATTATCTTAGAAAAACAATATTGAGTTGAATTAATTATTTAATCCCGATAAGAAACGACGAATGGATGGCAATCTAAGGATCTCTTGTGAATTTTATCAAATATTTTTCTATTTAATTTCTAACACTAAAGCTGTTCAATATTATTTTACATCTTTAATGGTGTAGCTTTGGTAGGCACTAATCTTCCATAGTGCTATTTTTTGTCACTTTGAGTTTCTTATTGGAATTCCCATATCAGTTTCTCTAACATTCGTCCATTTAATAATGTCTCCATTAAATTTTTTATTTTTTCAATATTTTATATTATTTATAATTTCTTAGATTTTCAAATCTGTATATATTTTATAATTCCTTGGTTAAAGCTTCGCTTTTGCTATCTATTTTATTTAATTAGCCTACATGAAAAACATGGATCCTAATTGCCGCCTCTGATTCCAACATCTCTTGGGTTTGTCCATAAATTATAGCCGAAAAAGAAATCCTTGTAATTTAATTTCAAAGTGGACGAAATACTAGATTTTGGTCCACTCTCAATTTTCTCAAGTGATTTAGCTTTATAATTAAAATGTTAATAAAGCCCTTAGAAAAGTATCGAACTTTAAAGAGTTCCAATACTTTAACTAACATAAAAAAAACAATATAAATTTTAAGACAAGCACACGAAAAAAGAAAGGCATTAAGGCAGCACACCGGTTTCTAGTTAATATGTCTGTTGTGTCTCACAAACAAGAATTCATATAATTTCATCTTTTGCCAATTATAATTAAAATCAACATTATTGGATGAGCCGAGGGGGCAGTTGGGGGTAATCGTCCCCTGAAATTTTAAAACTACTATATATTTTAGATTTTTTATATGTATTTTCTATTAAAAATCTGTTTTCGTCATCCCCAAATTTTATAAATTCAAGTTCACCCCCATAAAATTTTAAAAGCTCAACTTTTCCTCTCTAATATGAGATCTTACGTCGTCCCTGATTCAAGCTTTACAATTAAGTTTGTGGTTGAAATTCATCTACAATGTTGTTTATGAGTAGATCGGATTTGGGTTGAGTGTAAGTATTATTAACGTTTTTTTATATTGATTCAATTTTTGTATAATTAGAATTTATTTAGTGGTTTTCAGTGATAAAAAAGAAAATTATTTTATAAGGTATGTATATACTATTAATAGATTAACAAATCTAAACAAATATTATTTAGTAATCACCTCAAATTATTAAAAAATAATATTGTACAACCTAAAATATAAATCTCAAATTTGAATTGATGTTGAGAAATGATGATTCATTTCTAAAAATATGATAAGAATCTAAAATCTAGGGTAAAGTAAACAAATGGTCTCCCAATTGCATGGTGTTGCTTTGTTTAGTCACTGATTATTAAAAGTTATAAAATGATCATTCGATTATATAATGTTGTTTTTTTGAGTCCCTCAACTATTAAAAGTTATAAAATGGTCCTCCGATTATATGGTGATGCTTTGTTGAGCCCCTCGACTATTAAAAGTTACAAAATGATCACCCAATTATTAATATATTCCAAACTAATCTTTTCCGTTAAAAAATTAACGGTCGCCTAAGCTGAATGTTAACATGCTGACTGAGATATGTAGTCTTTTGAGATTATGTGATCATATTTTGTCATATCACAAATAGCATACTAAAGTCCAACTCACACTGTCATGAAATGAAAAAAGACAAGTTTGAAACAAATGAATAGTCATGTGATCATTTTGTAAGTTTTAATAGTCAGGGGATCAGTAAAGAAGCATGGTATAGTTAAGAGACCATTTTGTAACTTTTAATAGTCGAGGGACTCAACAATGCATCGCCCTATAATCAGGGTACCATTTGTGTATTTTACCCTAAAATCTAACGGAATTACATTATTGGTTTGGTTTTAAAAGACTAACATATATCTTTAGAATATTCAAAAAGCTCCTTTGCCTTAAGGAGGGATGGTGAAGAAGTGCGGAGTTCAATAATTGAGCACCCACCCTCTCTTTCCTTTCTTTTGGGTCGTTTTCCAAACTGCTCTATAATTTGCCTTAAGGAGAGATTATTAGCGAAGAAACAATGTAACAATGAGAACTTTACTAATACGTCTAGAACTTATGATCTAAATAATATATAAGAAAATAAAAACGAACAACTTAATTAATCGGTATATCATACTTGCTCGAAATCATAAAAATGTTAAAATTTACGAATGATGAATTATCGATATTCCTTGAAGAGGGTCCGGGGTGCTTTTGAATTTAAATCTTGCCTGTTTTCCCGTTGATTATCTTTTTGGCCATTAGTTTTGGGGTGTGATATCTTTATAAACAAACTTTATTGTCAACAACCACCCATAAATCTCAATCCCCAAAAGTAAACAGTGCTAAACCACAATTGTGTATACTTCTCTCACTTTTTTTTAATTGAAAATAAAAAGCTGTTAGAAGTATTTCAATTTTTCAAAACAAATCAATCAATTATTTCAATATATTTTACTTCTCAATTAAGTTTTTGTATTATAAAGTTCACCGACTCATTAAAATCATGTGATAATAATAAATTTAAAAATCATTAAAACGATTAATTAAAGGATTTAATTAATTTAATTTCTCTTTCCAATGGCTTATATAATTCAATTTTTGAAGTGGAAATTCAATTGAATGAAAAAAAAATTAGAAACTTTATTGAGCTTGTTTAAAAGTTCGAGAACTTCAAACACTCTTAAACCCAAAAATAAAATTACAAAAAAGAAGGAAAAACAATTAAAAAGAAAGCAAAAGTGACTTTGGGGAAAATGTGGAATGTTTAAAAGAAGGGCGTCCAGCTCTCTAAGTTTACTTTAACTTAGTGGAATCACGTATAATTAGGGTTGTTCATGGACGGTTAATCATACCGTTTAAATTAAATGGTCGGTTAACTATTATACAATTATATGATTTTTTTAATCATAACCTAAATGTTAAGAAACAGTTAACCGTTAACAGATAGCCCTTATCAATGGATTGGTTACAGGTTAACCTACGATTAATCTATTACAATTATTTGTCAAATATTTTTCATAATTCATTATACAAAAAAGTGTAACACTTAACACATACTTACACCGGTGTAAATGAATAAAATAAAAAAGTGTAGCTCTTAACACATACTTACATCGGTGTAAGTATGTGCATCTCCCAATATCTTAGTATCCAATAATAAACACATAATTGTATTCGTATAATTATGTTTCTATACTTTTAAAGAAATAAAAAATAATAAAAATATATATTAAGTTATTTGTATACAAATTTTATTAAATATATATATATATATATATATATATTACAAATAATAGAAAACTATATTAAGTTATTCACAACAAAATTTAATAAATTAGAAATATAATTATAAATTTAATTTATTAAAGGTTAATCGTTGAATAACTGTTTATCAAAAATTGTAATCGTTAACCATTATTTTTAACGGTTTAGTTAACCGAAACTATTTAATATTAACGGTTCGATTAATTAACTTGTTAAATATGACGGTTATATCGATTAACAATTATAGTTAACGGTTACGGATTATTTAACTCCCTACATCTGATCAAGGATTCATGGATCTCCCCACCATTCATTTTTCTTTTTCATTTTACCACAGAACAACAAATAAAAATCTAAATTAACCGTTGAAATTTATATTCGAATATTTGATATTATTTGTGTAATTTTATGTAGTATTAGTAAATTATGCTAACTAGATAGTGAGAACATAAATAAAAAGGTTATTTAAGCTTGAAATTCTCATATATATGGGACAATACTTCTCAATTCCCATTGATATTACAACAAAATTTCCATGATTAACATAAACAGTTCTTTACATAGTATCAAACTAACAAGAAAAAACTGAAAATTTCATCATTTCGTTGATTTTCTCTTATGTTTTTTTTTGTGTGAGCAACAAAATTAAAACCTCAAGGTTAATCAACTTAGGATTCGGACAGTGTGTTATTTTGCTGCTTCAAATCCCTGTAAAACCTGTTTATGAAATCCTCGGCAGCTTTGTCTACGTAGCCGTTGTCTTCATCGCCATCCCTTAACGGAAACGGAGAGTCCGTCACCCTAAGTTGTCTCGCCAATGGAGTTTGTCCGAACCCCGGCAACATAGGCGAAGCAGTGCTGTTGTTGTTGTAGCTGTCGTTGTTGAGCATATCCAAGACGGCCTTGACGGCGTTCATGGTGGCCGAGTTGTCGTCGTCGTGAGTGGGAGGCGCGTGGACGCAAGCGAAGAACTGGTGGTAGTAATTGTTGATGCTGCTGTTGTTCTTCTTCTTGAGGTTGAAAGGGAAGATGTGGTTGGGGGTGTTGCTGCAGCTGAATTCGTACTCCTGGACACCCGCCTTAGATACCGCCGTGAAGGAGGAGGGGACTTGGTGGCGGCTGAACATGAGGCTGGCGATGGCCTTGGAGCTGGCGGTTTTGCCACGTTTGAGCACGGTGTTGAGATCAACAATCAACTTTCTCTTTGACAGAATTCCTCTCCTCAACATGAAAAGAACTGCCCTCACAATGCTCCACATTGTTTTGCCAACCACTGGTAGACTTTGTTCCATTTTTAATCTCTGCCTGAGTTTCGAGAGAGAGAGAGAGAAGAGAGAGGGAATTAGTGTCTGGTTGGGTTAAAGGGAGAGAGGAAGGGGAACGATATATATAGGACAGAAATAAGGAAATCATTTCCTTTGGTACTTTAAAAATGGGGCTACGTCAACCTGAGGATGCATGGATCTTTTGTGTGATTTTAATAGTTTGAGTTTTTTAATGTTTGATATTTATATACTATATAATATAAAATTTATATAAATGAAAATAAAAATATTTTTAATAAGATAATATCTATAATTTTATGCATAGGATTCTTTACGTATCAAATTTTAATCTCATGATCCTCACCACATCATAAATTAAGTATATCGAACTCTTAAATTAGATTAAATATCTCTTAATTAATATTTTATTATATTCATTAGTAGTATCTTACATGCAAATACTTATTAAACTTATACCATCGAAGTTAATAGAAAAAGTATTAAAAAATAAAATAATTAAAAAAATCAATAATTTTTACTTTCGGGGATGGCCGAGGGGAATGAATTTAGAATTAGCGTACAGGGTTTGCACATTTTACCACATTAACAAACTGTTGCCTCTATAATGGTCGTGTTAAAAAAAAGTACAACAATGAGTGAAAGCTGCAAAGAGGGTTTCAGAAGAACAAGAAAAAAAAATAAAGGTGGACGGTTGCAAAAAATAAAATTTATGTTTTTGTTCCATTAATACCCCAACTTTTGGTGTATGTACAATGCCAGCTTTATCAAAATAATGAAAAAGGATGGGTATTTTTGGTGATAACAGTCCAAACTCCTGATTATAAAGTAGCTTTCTTAGCCAATAATCAAAGGCAAAGTCTCTTTTGGCAAAAACAAAACTGTGGCTGAATTTGCTGCACCTTTTATGTGTAATCAAGGCGTGTTAAGTCCTTCTTGTTTCCAAAGTTTGGCACTTTATTTTCTTGGGTTTTGGTTTTAATTAGGATTATATAAATCTACTAACCCCAAATGTGATTATAATTTATACATACATCACCATGTGCCTTACATTGAAAAAGGATTATAATATTGATGAGAAGATGGTTAATAAGTTTTTGAGATTAAATCATTCATGAATCATTATAATTTTAAATCGGAATCAATTTTATTTAAGTGTATTTTGTTAAATTAATTAGAGAGGAATTATATTTAAGCAAATGATGGGATTTGAATTTGCTGACAACATAAATATCCTTGATCGTTTGGTCCATTAATGGATTTCTTTTAAATATTACAACAGTTATCATATTCACAATATTATTATGCGACATCAGTAGCAAAAGAAAATATTGTTTCGAGTTTGAACATTTACATTTGTCGTGCGTGCGTTCATTGTCAGGTAACATAAAATAATAATATAATAGGTGAAGTTTTTTATGTTAGATTGATTTTAAAGAAGGATAATTGATAGGTTAATTTGGTTCGAACTGTTGGTTCAATGGTATAGAAGGGTTAATTAAGCTTTAAGTTTCCGTATAGGCACAGTAGTTATCTTTGATATTACAACGTAATTTTCATGATGATCAACATAAACTGTTGTTTACACTGTATCGAATTTCATCTGTTTTTGTTTATATGAACAACAAAATTAACCCCCCCCCCCCCAAAAAAAAAGTAATTAACAATAATTCAACTTAGGATTCGGACAGTGTGTTATTTTGCTGCTTCAAATCCCTGTAAAACCTGTTTATGAAATCCTCGGCAGCTTTATCCACGTCGCTGTTGTCTTCATCGCCATCCCTTAACGGAAACGGAGAGTCCGTTATCCTAAGCTGTCTCGCCAATGGAGTCTGTCCGAACCCCGGCAACATAGGTGAAGCAGTGCTGTTGCTGCTGTAGCTGTCGTTGTTGTTGAGCATATCCAAGACGGCCTTGGCGGCGTTCACGGTGGCCGAGTTGTCGTCGTCGTGAGTAGGTGGCGCGTGGACGCAGGCGAAGAGCTGGTGGTAGTAATTGTGAATGCCGTGGTTCTTGTTTTTCAGGTTGAAAGGGAAGATGTGGTCGGGGGTGTTGCTGCAGCTGAACTCGTACTCCTGGATCGCCTCCCCCTTAGATTCCGCCGTGAGGGAGGAGGAGGAGACTTGGTGGCGGCGGCGGTCGTGGAGCATGAGGTTGGCAATGGCGATTTTGCCACGTTTGAGCAGCATGTTGAGATCAACTATGAATTTTTTCTTCGTCAGAGATCCTTTTCTCACTATGAAAAGAACTGCCCTTACAGTGCTCCACACTCTTTTGTTGATCACTGGAAGATTTTGTTCCATTTTTCAAGCTTCGATTTTTCTAAGTTTCTTTTGGGTGACCTTTGAGATAAGGAGAGGGGAAATGGTTATTGTTTGATTGGGTAGAAGGGAGAGTGGGAGCAGAGGGATATAAATAGGGTATGAGGAGAGAAGTTGAAAGTAAATCAATCAAAGATGATTCTTTTAGGTACTTTAAAAATGGGACTACTATAATCTAAAGGTGTCTATAAGTTTTATGTAAATTTTTTTAGTAAATTATGTATTTAGTTACTCAATTATTATTATAATTCTATTTTATTTACGTAATTTTTTTAAATTATACTTAACATTATGTTTTAATTTCATTTTTATCATCCGTCATTAAAAGATTAATAGAACTATTAAAGTAGTATTTTTATTTTTTTCATTAATGATATGATATTATCTTATAAGGACACATTATTATTATCGTTAATTTTTTAATAACGAATGACCAAAATGAAACAAAAACCTAATATTACATGTACTTTTGGAAAAAATTGAGTAACCAAATTGAAACCTTGTGAATAGTTGGAAGACTAAATAATTGAGTTCAGTGGCGGAGCCACAACATGGTCAGGGTGGTCACATACTTACTCTGAAATCCGAATTTTCTTCGATTAGTTATTTATTTTACTGATGGTGCCCACTCTAAAATATGAGTTTCTTCGATTAGTAACTTATTTTACGGACAGTACCCACCCTGAAATTTTATTTGTATCCATCTCATTTAAAAAATTTATGTTGTTAACATATGAGTGTCCATCTTCAAAAATATTCCTAGATCCGTCACTGATTGAGTTCTACTTTTTTTTTACTAAAGAGTTCTACCTCTCATACCTACTAGAGCAACTCAAATTAATATCATATTAATTTTATATTAAATTAAATAATATCATCCGATTAAAAAATATTTGAATTAAAATAAAATTATTTTACCAACAATCAGTTGGTCTAGTGGGATAAGACACTATATTCCTTAAGTAAGGTCAGGGGTTCTAATCCTGTCGTTTGTGTAAGGAGAAAACTGGGTTGGAAGGGTCGCCCCCATAATGGGCCTCTGCAAAACCCAATATGGATTAATTGGTGAATAGATCATATACAAGTGATTAATTCAAAAAATAAAATTAGTTTAAATAAACGATACCTTTTTAATAAATCGTCTTAAAATTTTTTATTGAATATAAAACTGGAAATAAAATCATGCCACAGTTAAAATATGATTGATAATAATATTTAACCTCGGACAGAAGAAAATTGAGACTGCTCCCCCATAGCCAAACCAGTTATACATATGGATAATCTGAAAGCAGAAACAGAAACAGAGTGAGCTATAAAACTCAATGTGCCCTCTAGATACAAATAATAATTCAGATTTTTCAAGCATAAATATAAAGATAATAAAATAATCAAGTAACACAATAATCAGACATTTATTTCCAGAAAATCATGCAGAGTTTCTCGCAACCTTACCTCTCATCATAGACGAACATAATGGAAAACAATACTTGTTGAAAGGAACTTGAGATCCCCAAAATAAATCCAGAGCAGAAAATAAAAATCGGGATGGGGATGTTACCCTCCGAAGAGGAGCCCGAGTTAACCTCTAAGGAGGAACTTATCAGAAATCAAAAACAGGACGTGGATGTTGCCCTCCATATAGGATCCTAAGCAAAATCAGGATGGGAAATAAATCCCATGCAGAATCAGGACGGGGATATAATCTCATGCAGAATCAAGAAGATGATATAATCCCATGTAGAATCAGGACGAGGATATAATCCCATGCAGAATCAAGACGGAGAATAAATCCCATGCAAAATCAGGACGAGGATATAATCCTATGCAGAATCAGGACGGAGATATAATCCAATGCAAAATCATGATAGGGATATAATCCCATGCAGATGACAGAAAAATATCAACACGCAGATAAAGGTAACGCAATACCGATCAGAAATCAGAAATATCTCAGTTAAACATAATCTAAATACAAACAAGCGTACATATAACATCGTATAATATAAAAGTATAAAATTATTAAATGTATCACACAGGTCAAGAGGACACACCTATATAGCTATTCAACACCGGTTAAGACTTACGCTTCCCACGATTAGTCGTACTAGGTCATGCGGAGTGGAAACTAGGGAGCGGTGCAGAGACATATGACCACCTTGGTAGAGTCACAAGAATGAAATGTTCTATCCACTTTCTAAGTCCAAAAGTGGGTCGTTGTGTAATACCCCAAATCTAAAATATGAGTTTTGAAAGTTTAGTTGCTAAAGTATAAACTTTATAAAAGTTTAGAGACTAAAATGTAATTTAAAAAAGTTATATATTTTACCCCGTAAATGAATAGTTTGGCCTAAAACAATAATTTTCATGGTAATTAGATTTGGGTACGGGATTTGTGTTAAAAGTTATAAAGCGATAAAGTTTGGTATTGAAATCGGATAATCGAATTGAACCGAAATTTTACAAACAATTGAAGGATGAAAGAAAATGGTTGGAAATATTATTTCCATATTTTATATTAGATAAATTTGGCTCGGAACAATGTAATTTTTTTCAGATTTAACTGAATAGTGGAAATTTAGTGACTAAAATGTAATTTTTAAAAATTGCATGGCCAAATTAGAAATTCAAAGCCAAATTGATTCATCTTTGACCAAAGAATATTTTAGTGGAGGAAATGGCAATGGCAATTGGTAATTTTTAAGATTCATTAATGGTAATTTTGGAATTTCTCATAATTAAATAAAAAATTCAATTATAGTAATTTAAAGACAAGTGTGAAAGCTAATTTAATGTTAGAATAATCAAGAAATTAGCCATTTTCAGCTTGTTGTTCTTCTCTTGGCCGAACCACCTTGCTCACGGTAAGAAAAAAATTGTTTGATTTTTGGATTAAGCTATTAGATATAGAATTAATCTACATGAAATTCTCTGTCATTTGGCACCAATATTTCATGGTCAAGATGATTGTGTGATGAGATTTTATGATTAGGATTATGAAGAGCTTAGTGATTTTAAAGAGTTGATGAATGATTTTTTGTGTTTTTGATGTTAGTGATTATTTCTAAAGTATGTACAGTGATTAAAATTAATTGTACATGCATATATAAGGTTTGACATGTTAGGGTTTATGGAGAATCATTGGATTGTGATTCAAATTGATGTTGTGATGATGGGAAATGCATGAATTTAATCATAGGAGGTTGAATTCATGCTTGAAATTGGACAAAAAGCTCACCTATTACATGATGGATTCGACCATAGGGAAATTTTTAGGGGGAAAATGTTGAAAATTTTTCTTTGGTCTATAAATAATATTAGAAGTGTTCTATATGATTTGGAGATTGATTGGATTAATTTGGAACCTTGAAAGAGAAAAAGGGACAATTTATAAGTTTTAAGGATTGTGAGACATTATTGTGTAAATTTGAGATTTGGAGTATTAAATGATAATATTTAGTATTGAAATGCTGGAAAATTAAGTTGGAAAGTTATTTGGAACCAAATTGCAAATTTGGTAAAAGTTTGTGTTGGAATTCGAAAGGTCCTAAGAAAACGAGGACTTGTTTGCAAGTTAGTAAATGTAGAAGTATCATTTGGGTAAATTAGAACAATTCTGGAAGCTTGCTGAAATATTTGTTTAATTATTAAGTTTGAATCAAATTATAAGTTTATAGAGATTGGAGGTTGAATTGACAAAGTTTAAGAAAATTCAGGGTGAAATTGTAAGCTTTTAAATGTTTAAGTGTTGATTTGAATATTTTATGAAAGTTCTGGAAATTTCTTGTGAATAATATGATATGATTATAATAGTGAAGGGCTATTGTGAATTCAATGGAATAGTTGAGGTGAATTCTAAGAAGAACTCAAAGTTAATGGTTTGGTTTTGGAAATTGACAAAAGTCGAGGGATTTAAGTTGGAAATAAATATTTGGGAGCTTAAGAGTATTTTGAGAAGTTTGGAAGTTTAATTAAGGTTTGATTTAATTATCATATTGATTTTTATTTCATAGACTTTTATATTTTTAAAATTCGATTATGTTAGTTCGATACTAACAGATAGTTTGAATATGTTATGTTATGATGTTATGCTGTCAGACTACAATAAATTTAGTGATCCAAACGATCCAAAAGGAAAGGAAAAAAATACACGAATAAAGAAATAGCATATAAAGGTTCGGATGTGAGGCAAAGATGAGTGCAATTTGTTTATTTAATTATTTTGATCGATGACGACTTATGATAAGTCAACCTCGCATTATTTATTTCAATGTTTTGAATTATGTTTTGATTTTTGAAATTATATCCGAAATATTTTAATAAGTTTTATGAATGATTTTGAGTATGAATTGCCCCTGTTATATTTTGTGAATATGATCTGAAAATGATTATAATATGAAAATGATTATGATATGATTTTTATTAAATGATTATGAATTGAAATGAAAGCTCATTGTATGTTGTATTGAGAGTCATAGGTATAATTGGCATGCCATGAGGTGGAGTAATTATATTCTGATTATGATATATTGTGGTATATCGGTGGGCACACTAATATATATTCCGATGTGATTGCACTTTGTGTGCATATTGTGATTTTTGCTGTGAGAGCATTGTGTGTGCTTATCTATTCTGATTCTGATGCTAACACTGAGATATTTATTGTGTACTATCGTCTGACTTACATACATTATATTCTCTTAAATATACTTTGGGCTACAAAAATAGAATATAAAAATTCTAAAAAGTGTCTGATTGAAAAGAAATATTGACTGATTATTCCGTCTGATATAATTTATTTTGATTTTGTGAAAGTCATAAGGTAATTCCTTTTATGTTTCTGATAAAGACACAATATAAGATATCCGGTTTGAAAGTTCTGAAAATTTTGCCTAGATTATTTTTAAATGTTTTTATATATATTTCGATACTTTATATATTTATTCTCACATTTAATATTACTGCATCACTAATTTTTACTTAGC